TCACCCCTTCGCGAGCATTCGAACCGCCGACCTTCTGATCGGCAAGTCCGAGGCTCTGTGGTTTAACCCACAGCACCACCCACGTCCCTTGCCAGGCTGGGTAAGGTTGGTCAAAAAGAATGTGCATGAGAAAGTTGACTTGAGGTAGCAGAGAACCAGAGTTCTGGAGTCCTAGAATCAGACCAGGGGGCATTGAACAGCCCTGTTTATTGGGACATTGTGCAGTTGCTATAGCCTGGGTAGGCCCGGGGGCCAGATCCAGCCCAATAGCCTTCTAAATCCGGCCCACGGACGGTCTGGGAATCAGGGTGTTTTTATATGAGTAAAATGTGTGCTTTTATTTAGAATGCATCCCTGGGTTATTTGTGGGGCATAGGAATTTGTTCATATATTTTTTTCCAAAATATAGTCCGGCCCCCCACAAGGTCTGAGGGACAGTGGACCGGCCCCCAGCTGAAAAGGTTTGCTGACCCCTGTGCTATAGCATCTACCCATGGGAGCCATGTTGGTGGCATCTGAATTACACATTACATTTTGGGATAGGGAATCTTGATACAGGGACACGCATTTTGGGTGGTTGCCCTGGGTCCTTTGTCACTGATAGCTTTTCTCTTTCATAAGTTCTAGGTCCAAGTATATTTACTTGACAGGAAGGAAATGAATTGAGATTTAGATTGTTAGGATTTCCTCCAATACAAGTTTGAGGTAAGAAAATATGTCCCTAAGTTTGGATGCCTCAAGGCTATTAAGCACAAAACACTAGTAATAGCACATATTTCATAAAGAGAACATTCAAGATACTTATCGAGTAATGTCTGTTGTTTGCAATGGTTTTTTATTTATTTACTTTGGAAAAATGAGCTAAGGACAAAGCTGTTCTGATTTATAAACAGACACTACTCTATTAATACAAAAAAAAGGCAAATGGCCATGTAGCCAATTTTCTGGAAGAGAAAGGTTGCATGGGTCATTTTTCTTCAAACAGCACTACACCACAGGAGATCAGAGAAGAAAACATTTATTCCTGTAAGTAATGAGATATTTACAATAAACCCTGAATGGCAGTTTAAGAAATGGCGATTGAATGCATTGTACCCAATGCCAGTGTCTTTACTTATTCTATTCTTCAGACAATGAATGTTCATTCAATCCTTCTCCCTCGGAAACAATTATTTTCTTTGCTGCTGCCCACGAACAGTCTTGAGTGCATATTGTGTAGAGTTCAGGGACAACAAACTGCACAGTTGTTTAAATAGATTCAGAGAATGAGGAAATAATGAACATAAATACCCACACTTCCTGACAGGGGTTTATAGATTTTCAGTTCAAAACAGCAGCATGGTCATGGTTCTTATAATATATAGCAAGATTTACCTCTGATTGTTGGAAGTGGAGAGGATCTCAACTCTTAAAAAATATGTATGGCCTAACCTTGAAGTGGGGAACCTGAGACCCTCCAGATGTTGAACTACAACTCCCATCATCCTTTACTATAGTCTGGGGCTGATGGGAGTTGGAGTTTAATAACATCTAAGGGTCAAAGCTTCCCCAGTCCTGGCCTAACCAGTTGACTTGCTTTTTCATTTTACTTCTTTTCCAAACAATTTTTTATTGTTTTTTTAAACAAATACAGATACAATAACCATTAAACATTTATGCAACAGCACATCTAACAGTGTTTGTTTTATACATTCAGGTGGTAGCCGTGTTGGTCTGACGCGGTCAATATATATATAAAAATAATAATAAATTGTCCAGTAGCACCTTAGAGACCAACTAAGTTTGTTCTTGGTATAAGCTTTCGTGTGCATGCACGGTTCAGGTTACAAACGCTTCAGGTTACAGACTCCACTAACCTGGAAGTAGTACCTTGGGTTAAGAACTTTTCCTCAGGATGAGAACAGAAATCGCACAGCGGGAGCAGCGAGAGGCCCCATTAGCCAAAGTGGTACCTCAGGTTAAGAACAGGTTCAGGTTCAGAACAGACCTCCAGGACAAATTAAGTTCTTAACCTGAGGTACCACTGTACCAAGAACAAACTTATGGGTCTCTAAGGTGCTACTGGACAATTTTTTTATTTTTTTATATGTTCTATCGATTGTCTCTAGACATACACTTACACATTCAACATTCAAACATATTACTTAACTCCTCCACTGAGAATACTGAGTGGTTGGTATAAGGTCTTGATTCTGGTCATTAACAGAGTTAAAGAAAGGGTCCCTGTTTCTTGGAAGGTGTTTCTATTTGTTAAGCCTTTAATTGCCTTCCTATGTCTGGTGAGACGCTCAGATATTGCTATATCCCAGATATTATTTTTCCTTAATGTTCGTGGGTATTTCAGTCTGGTTCTTCCACTGCTGAGCTATCACTGACTGTGCTGCATCTGGTAAGAAGCCTACTAGTTCTCTGTGGTGCAGAGTGGAGCCTAAGTCTATGTCCAAAGATAGTAGGGCTAAGGTGGGATTTGAAGAAAGGGGTTGGCCTGTAATTGCAGTTACAATCACATTCCCACTTCTAGAAAAACTTAGAAAAAGTCAAGAGATGGAACATATTAAACTCCATTTACTGTTTCCAAGGTTAATTGGTCCAATAAAAGATGCTACCACCATTACCTATTCTCTCTGCCAACTTACTGGCTTCCAGTAAATTTCTGGGCCTGATTTAAAGTACTGGTTTGAAATAGCATCTTTGAGACAGGGATGGATGAATCTGTCAATTTGGGTTTCTCTCAGTTTCTCATTTTTCCAACATTAACTTCAGTGCTCCACATTTCTACATCAGCATGTGATTTGATTTGATTAAAAAAAAAGAGTCCTTATGAAAATTAATCATTCATTAATGTACACAAATGTACATTTCATATATATGTACACTTCATATATAATGTTTCTGTACACGTTACTTGGCAGGAAGACTGCACTGGGAAATGTGGATTAAGTGCAACTTTCGAAGGCTGGCTGTGTTTTGATATGCGCAGTGCATCAGAAAGTGTGAATTAGGTTCACCTTTAGATATACAAAGTGAATCTCATTTGTCCTCCATCCCTACCAGCAGGTAACCATCCTGTTTCTGAGTTCCTACAGCTCAGCTCAAACCTCTAACACATCCACACACTGACATTTCCATCCCAATTTGTATGCAGAGGGCATCAGAACAGCCTAAGTTGGTTCTCTGTTATTTTATCTTGTAACTTCAGCTTTCAGCCCAGTTCATGCCAGCTGTAAACAAAATCCGAAAAGCTGCCCCTTCTGATGACAATGAAGCATCTTCAAGCTTCGCCACCCTCCCATCACACTTCATTTCCCTTTGTGCTTTGGGGTGCTACAGCCAAGAAATCAACCACTGCAGCAATGCTTCTCCATTATTCCACCGCCGCTGGAGGAAATTAAATAGGAACACAATTGCCAGGCTCGAAATAATCAAAATGTTGTTTGCCAAATAAACCATTGCACACTTAATCAAATCAAAGGCGCTCAAACTACAGATGCTGGAGCGACATATTTACCAACCAGAGTCAGATTGCAGAAGTTAAGCAAAGTGTTTTAAATACAGAGGGGAAAGCAAACCCAAATTACACGTACATAAAGAAGCAAACACTAGATAAAAATGCAAGGATCTTCAACAAGGCGGGGGGGATCTTTTTCATCCCAGGGGCTGCCTTCCATCTTGAGCAACCTTTTGGGGGGGGCCACATGCCAGTGGCAAAGCTGGGTAGAGCAAAATATGTCATACTGACACACACCCCTCCATACTCTATCCAGGCAAAGAAAGGCATTGTCACAATTCAAAGATGAAACACTCAATGGGACATGGAGTGGAGGCAAAAGGGGTATGACCTACAAGGGGGCAAAATCTAGGGAGAGTGCACGGGACCAGATAGGCCTGGAGGGTCATATTTGGTCCCTGGGCCAGAGGTTTCCCACCCCAATCTACAATATTGATTCCACAAATGGTTTGAATTTTTTTTCTCTATAAGGGTGGCAGGATGCCTTGCATTGAACCAGAGCTGGATAACTTGTGATTCCCAACTCCCAGCGCCCTCAACCAGTATAGTCAGTATGCCTCTCTTTAAGTTTTCTTTTTACTTTTTTTCTGCACTTCTGCAATCCCTTGCAGACACCCACCAAAGCCTTCTGATACCTCACTCTTCAACATGAATGGTGCTGTTTTGCTACATAAGCAGCAGCACTCATCATCCGAACATGGGAATTATTGTCATACTCGTGCTGCAGATGGGAACCCCAATACTGAAAGTGGCCTTAGACCACTGAGTGAGCTCATGGCTGATAGGTTGTTCAGGATAAGGAAATTGCCTTATCCTGAGTCAGACCCGTTGGTCCACATTGACTGACGGTGATGTGTTGTTGGGCTCAGGAGTGTTGTAGGCAGAGATGGACAAGGAGGGGGAGCAGGAGTGGGTGACACTGGGCAACAGAGGCTGGAGGAATCAAGTACTTATGCATCCAAGGATAGAGCTGCCCTGGCTTGTGAAGCAGCACCCACACTTCCCCCCTCCCTCCTGGGGAAAAGAGGGCATCAAAGGAAGAGGGCATCAGCCAACCACTAGAGGCCTGCTCATCCAGGATCCAGCAATTCTCCCATCACTGGGAACAGACACATCTTAACAAAGGCATTGCACTTATGCATGCTCCACGGTCTCACAGTGCACATGAGTCTCTCAAGCACCTGACCTATCCTTAAAAGAGTGGCAGAAGGTACCAAACCTGTTGGGACAACTCCATTGCTTCCACACAGATCTGAACTCTTTGCCTTGATCTTGGAATACTTAAACATGGACCACTGTTTCTATCCTGGTTGGCCCTGCCTTTCCTGTCCATCTAGCCCAAGTGTAGCAGCCGCTGGGACTCATTATCTGTTGCTGGGCCTGTATCTCTTTTCTGCCTCATAAAGTAAGAGTCTCTGTCATCACAGGTAAGACAGGTAAGCCAGGATGCAGTGGTTTGTCCAGGATTTCAGAGGTCTGTCCCAGTCATACCTGGAGATGCTGGGGATTGAACCTGGGACTTTCTGCATGCAAAACAGATGCTCTACCTCAAAACTGCAGCCCTTCACTTGATGATTTTCAGATATCAGATTTCGTCTTGTGGTATTTTAAACACCAGTGTGAACACCTGTGTTTAGTACTGTGTGGTAAGCCACCCTGTCCGTGTTACTAACCAGCAACAAACCCCATTTTTAAACAAACAAACCAATCCAGAGCCAAAAAATATGGTACACATTTAATTCACCTGGTAGGCCAGACTTCCAAGTGTCCCTATTTTCCAGGGACAGTCCCAGTTTTACAGAAGCCATCCCTGTTTCTGATTTGATCCCAGAATGTCCCGCTTTTCCTTAGGACATCCCTATTTTAATTGGAGAAATGCTGGAGGGTATGGTTATGTGACCCCCACAGCCAAGGAGATAACTATACAATCTTTAGAAGACATCTGAAGGCAGCCCTGTATAGGGAGGTTTCTTAATGTTTCATTATGAAGCCACCCAGAGCGGCTGGGGAAGCCTAGGCAGATGGGTGGTATATAAATAATAAAATTATTAATAATAATAGGATAATAGGACCTTCCTATTTTCATTGGAGAAATGTTTGAGGGCACGTGGCAGGCTACCTCAGTGACATCCTTCTATCTGTCCGCCTGCCTTTTCCCCCATCTGCTCAACAATCTTGAAAGTATATTGTTTTTCAAACGCCTGAAAGAGCACTCCAGTATCATTAAATAACCGCATAAGAAAAAGCTCTTTGCCGTTTGACTATTTAAAAACAATCCTTGCTTGTACTTGGAACATTCTTCACTCTACCACAACGCACACACACACAGAGAGAGAGAGAGAGAGAGAGAGAGAGAGAGAGAGAGAGACTTGTGTCATTCCTCAGATCAATCACTTCTTCCTGGACAACATCCAGTCATTTTACCTTGTAAGAAGTAAATCAATCATCTGATTTGCTAATGTACACTGGACCAATGGAGCACAGGAAAGATAGTCCAGGAAGGCGCAGTGTACAACTGCCTATTGCTAAAAATGAAGGAGGCAGCCTTCAAAGAATGGTTTTTAAAGTTGCTGAACGCTTGAGGGATCAGGGGCCAGCATCTACAAATACCTGACAAGGCCGATGCCTCCATCAGGGAGGCCATATCTGTCACTGTCTATGTACCTGCCATCTCTGAGTGATGGGAAAAGGAGGAGCAGCCTCTGCGTGCATGTATATATATGGGCCAGAGCCGGCCCTACCATTGAGTACAGTGAGGTGTCAGCCTTTCCCCAATAGCTTTGCCAGAGCTCATGCCTTGTCTTTTGCAAGAGCTCATGCCTTGTCTTTTGTTGTTAAACTGCAACTCCTGCCTGCCCCACCAACCAACATGGCCAATGACCAGGTCCAGGAGTCACAAGCAGCCCCCCAACCATCTCTATCTGGTCCTTGCAACTACCTACATGCCACACACCTCACCAGTCCTCCTTGATTGTTTTTGCCTGGCTGGAATGTGTCCTTGAACTCTGACTATGCTTCCTGCTTCTCTGGATGAGGGATAGAGGGAGGGGTGTAGAAACTAGCCCACTGTGCAAAGGCAGTGTTGGCATTCACAGCTTCACCCACTATTGCCTCTGGCCCTGCCCATCACTTGCATGAAGCTCTTAGAATACCCCTCAGAAGGGAATATGAATAGTGGTGGAAAGAGTTTCCCATTCCTTGGGTACATTTATTAATTGCCATGCAAGCAATGCTCTTTAATAACGTAACAAACTGCACTTGTAGTCGAGGTTTCCGCACAATGGAGCTCCCAACTTCATCAATGAAAACAGATGTAGGATATAATAATTTTACACTCAGACCATATCTAATTCCATCTTTGGCTACTGGAAGCTGCTGCTAATGTACAACATGGCTGCTTGCCATAGAGGGCAAAGACATATGAATTATTGCAACCGCTTTGCAAAATCCCCTCATCTTTCTGCACGTCAAAGCTGGATTAATCATTATGATGAGTAAGTTGTGGATCAGGGTGCCAGAGCTCATGCCTTGTCTTTTGCAAGAGAGTTGTCCTTTGCTCACTCTGCCTGTGTGATTGCACACCCTTCACTCTTTTTTTAAAAAAAGCACTTGTCCAGATTTTCCCCCAATAGCTTTGCACTTGTCCAGCTTTGCCTATGTGCAGGCACCTAACAATGGATAGGAGCAATGGAAGCTATCTTCCACAGAATCAGGCCACCAGTCCCGCTAGCTCCGTATTGCCCACACTGATTGGGAGTTGTTCTCCAAGGTTTCAGACAATTGAGATTCACAGCACCACCTAGAGAAGCCAGGAATTGAACCTGGAACCTTCTGCATGCATAGCAGATGTTCTACTACCAAGCAGCAGTCCCTCTCTAAAGGGATTTAGGAAAGCAGAAAGCTGCCTTACATTGAGTCAGACCACAGTTTCATCATATCCAGTGCTGACAACTTCCAGACTTCCATCCAAACTTTTCATCAGGCATTCTTTTGTGGAACTGCCTCTGAACAGGTGTGTGTGTTTGGTCCTGGTGCTTCCTCCAGGAAAACCTGTATTTTACCATTGAAACCTGATTGCCTTTTGTTCCAATTTAGTGGGAAAAAATGCTGGTTTTCCCAGGGAAAGTGCCAGGAGGGGAAAAACCCCAACAGCATTTAGATGTGGCACAAAATAATGCTGGATTTAACTCTATGGAGGCCCTTAAGCAGACTTGAGTCAGTGGGAACTCATGACACATTAACTCACAGAAAGCTTAATACCTAGAGGTTTCTCATACACACACTCTAGTGGAATAACATTGAATTAAGAAAGGTTGAATGTAATTTTCTTTCAAGATCAAATCAATATTATTTTGATCCATTGTTGCAGGGCCTGTAAGAGGCATAGGACCCATAGGCTGGTGCCTACTCTGCCTATTTGGTAATCCTGCACTGGCACAAAAGGAAAAATGGATGAGCCCACTGACTAGCAACAGCTCTTCTTGGTTTCAGGAAGGAGTTTTTCTGAGCCCTACCTGAAGATGTGAAGGATGGACAAAGCTCTACCACTGAGCTGGTGGTCATTTCACATAATCATTGGGCACTTTGAAATTCCTTAGAGTACCAGTTCCCTGTTCTCTTCTCTGGTTGACATCGTGTTGGATTGCTGGACTCATGTACCTGTGGCCAAATCCATCTAGACATTACCAATGATCATTCACAAAAGGCTGCCTCACGCAACTCTAGCAACTCACTAGGTGAAGAATGTCTTGACAATAAGTAATTAAAGAAGAAGCCCTGCAAAATTAACTTTCAGGAAGTGAACCATCTATGCCCTTTCCGTGCCAACATTTACATACAGTTTTAATTGAAGACAATAAATGGACATTTTGACAAGACTCATTACAGCTAGGCAGACCTTGTTATATTCTGCCTTTCTGCCTTCTTATTCCTGGCAAAGAGGCCAAGAATTGTCTCTTTTTTTCACTTCTTGCACATAAAAGCATTTTTTTCTTGGTAAAACTTTAATTAGACTTTATTCATGTCAAAAGCAAGAGCTGGCTTTTAAACCTAAACTGAGTACCCATGGCAAAAATAAAGAGGGGGGGAGGTTTATTTTCTGTTTGATTCCCCACTCAGTTTAAAGAAACTTCTTGACTAGAATCAGTAGAGGGGCATATTTGATCTTGATAGATTTATTAATTATTAAGGCACCACTACTGGCAGGGGGTAGAATTCAGGCTTCATTTCTCCCCCACCCCAAAAGTATATATTTCATTATACCACTGGCCTACAAGCTGCTTTTAAGATTACTTGATTAATCATGGGTTCTTCTCAATGCATAATTAAGTAAAAGTGCAACAAATTTACACTGATTTAACTCTTTCCCCCCTCTGTGGCAACATCACATTCATATTTAATAAAAACCATAGAACAAACATGAAAATGCAAACTCCCCACGCTGTCCACACTTATGAAGGTAGTAAATCAAAGATTCAGCGTCAAGCCATTTGAGAGAGAAACAGCAATTAAAAAGATAGTTCCTTTTGGAACACACTCTTTTTTTTTTCTTGCAAGGGAAAGAAACTTTTTATTTAAAGAATCAAACAATTCCAGGGGGATGCCATACGGAAGCCATTCATAAATCCAAATGTCATTGTTCTAGCAACAATTTATTTAATGAACTTCCATTTGGAAAGCTTACAAAACTAATTCTGCATATTCAAACAGAGGCTCCAGTATGTTTGCATATGCATAGTTGTAGACGTCTGTTCCCATGCATGCATTAAGTTCAGCAGGGACCTTGTAAGTATCATAAGCATAATGAATCAAACCATTGGTCCATCTAGCCCATTATAGTCCATACCATCCTTCTCCAGCCAGGGTGACCTCCAGATTATTTGGACTCCAACTCCTATCTGCCCTAACCAACATGGCCAATGGTCAGGGATAATGGGAATTGTTGTCTACACCAGGGGTAAGCAGAAGCTAGATCAGAATCTACTGGTAGATCTCTGGCTAAATCTACATTAGATCGGCAATGGTTCTCAGTATTTTGATAGCAGCAACAAAATCACATTCCCCTCCTAAATTAGGTGGATGAAGTGAAGAATGCTAACCTGTTGTGGATAGTGTGAGCTCAGTACAATCCTCGTACTGAAAACAAATTGTTAGCTTCTGTGCTCAGAGGCACCCTGTTCTTTGATTCTTACTATATGTGTTTTCTCCTTGACTGTAGTTGGTGTTCTAGTAAACAAACAAACAAAGTAGATCTAACAGGGCTGAAGTTTGCTGACTCCTAGTTTACAATATCTGGTCAGTATCGACCAGCTATTCCCAACATAATCTAGATGACATCATGCTGTGGATAGCTGGTCTACACTGATTGACCATGACTCCCCTTCCTGAAGTCTTTAGTAGACTACCTGGAGATGCCAGGGATTGAACATGGGGTCTTATGAATGCAGAGTACCTGCTCTGCTCCTCTTCCCTGTCAACGACTCATCTTCATCAACATTGATTGCATACATGGATCTCCTTGGCTGAATTACTGTGACCAGCTCTGAGTTCAAACTTAAACATAATCCCCCTTTTATAGTCTATCTGTAGCCATCCACCTTGCCCTTACTAAAAAATAGGGGAAAGCACCAAGGGCCTTCTTAGATGGAGTACATTCATGCCGTACATTTAAAGCATGTTACTTCCCCTGAAGAATCCTGGGAACTGTAGTTTCTTAAGGGTGCTGGGAATTGCAGCTAGATTCTGGGAGGGGGAGCCATGTGCTTTACATGTTGGTGATCCTCAGGGTCCCATTCAACTCTACATTTCTATGATTCTATTAGGATAGCAAAAATAACGAATATAAAGATGGCTCATATGTTTCATACACTTCCTGATTGGGTTTACTGAACTCAACATTACACCTCACAATTTTACAAGTCCACTGAAGCAACTTAATGTCATTTGCATCCCTGGATAACTCTGAAGCCATTCATCTAAATTTTGTCAAGGTCATGACCAGACAGAGGAAAAGGTTGGCAAATTAAATCAACTTAAAAGAAAGAAGTGTCTTTCAAAGCATTATTATTCCCATATTGTGAGCAAGGTTCTTGATTCTGGGAAGGCTTGTTTTAAACTAACATGCGGGTTTATGGCTCAGGGAAGATTGGAACATGTCATTGCACAGCTCACCCTGTTTGCCGTGATGCTACCTGAAGCTCAAATTGCTTTGAACTGCTTTCTATTTATTAGAAGATTTATGCCTCATACTTTTCTGTCCTGGCATCAGGTGGCTGGCAGCAATTGAATGAAAACAAAATAATAAAGCAAAGCAATCCATTCCAGAAACTCAGTGTATGGTGTAAAGGTTTTCAGTCTCAGTTGGAGAATAGTCAAGGGATAGGAAGCCTATGGCCCTCCAAATGCTGTAAGCTACAATTTCTATCATCCCTACCCATGGACCACATTGGCTTGAGCTGAAGGGAGCTACATTCCAACAACAACTGAAGGTTGCCCACTCCTCAAATAGCCCTTGAAACTCCTAACCCAGGTGTGAGAAATCTTTGTCCTTGAAGATGTTGCTGAACTTCAACTCCCATTATTCCTGATGCAAGGGCTGGTGGGAGCTGTAGTTCAACAACATCTGGAGGGCCAAAGATGTGACCTACTCTGGGACCTTAGGGTTATCAGCAGCAGCAGTTGCAGTTGGCTTTTTGTGTCCTCTTGCTACCTTATGTGCTCCAAGATGCTTTTGTGTCTCACTGGAAGGGGAAAATCAATTCTTTTTTCGAAGAACCCTGATTCAATCCCTGGCATCTCCAGGTAGGGCAAGAAAGACTCTGATCTGAAACTCTGGAGAGCTACTGCCAGTCAGTGTAGACTGCACAGATATAGATGGACCAGAAATCTGCCTTGGTCTAAGACAATGTCTTGTGTTCAAAGAAACAGTGACAACGTCTTCATTTTGTGTTTTGCTCCTCCCCTAACCTTGAATTTCTCAGCATAGTCCATAACATAGCTCTCTTTATTCAACTTCCATTCCTCAGTCACAGTTTATTTTTCATGTGAGGTTCCATTCTTTTAAAAGGCCCTTAACAGCAAATGACCGGGAAAGAGGACTGGCTGAAGGTTAATGTCTTTAATCTACATATCTCCTCTCTGAAAATGTAATCAATGTAAGATCATGGAACGGAACTGATGCTGTTCCCAGTAAATCTACTTTATTAGGAAGTTGCATGTCAGACGAGTAATTAAAGTCTTCTTTGAGCTTTATTGGAGTAGGGGAGAGGAACTTGTAAAAAACTATCAAGTTCTGCAAATGCTCACTCCATGGACTCCTCTGCTCCTAAGTTGCCTGAATTGTGTTAATCTCCCCTGGCTGCATTGTATGGAGAAGCACGACGGCATGGTTTCCTCCATAGGCCTAGCAAGGACCAACTAGGGCATCAGCTGCTCTGACAGCAAAGTTCAGAGACAACTTATTCTCAGTGATTATTTCCTATGGGCCACCCTGAAACTTGGCAACTCTCTTTGGGTTATTCTTATATCACAAAACCGGGCTGCATATGTATATACATTACTCAGAGACAGTCTAGACATGGCATTTATCTTTTTTTTAAAAAAAATATTTATTTCCTGATAAATGATACAGAAAATAAAAGTAAAATAAACAAATACTGATACAAAATCAACCAAAAAACAAACAAACATATACAGCCTACACTACAAACATAAACCCTATACACCCCCGTGACTTCCCTCCACCATGACTCGACTTCCTTTAGTTCAAATTTGAATATTGTCATTGCATTCTTTGGATAATACATCTTCTATCCATTTCTAATTTATATTCCCTCTTATACTTTACATACTTAATCCATGCATATCAACATATTCTTT